CTAGTCCAGACTCTTAACCACTACACCAAACTGAAGTCAGTAATCAGTTTTGAGGATCCTAGCTTTATTGTCTGCCACAAACCACCTTTGCATCCATTAAGAATAACATTAGTGGGCTTCTGAAGATTCCCCAGGCCAGGATGGCTCGAGTCCCTTCATTTTTGGCACTGCAGCTCCCATCATCACTCTAAACTGTGTGTCCAATTCTCAAATGCCCAACTTTATTGTATTTTATGTTGGGCCTGCCAGAGACAACCATTCCTTTCAATGCACAAAATGTGTGTGTGCATGCAGACGTGCACGCATGTGTAAGTTTCTGGCAATTCCATGGCCCAGGATGTTCAGGTTCCCTTTACAGCTGGCACTGCAGCTTCCATGACTATCCTGAAGCCAGTGGCTAGTTTTGAGATTCCTAGCTGCATTTTTTGGTGGGTTATGCATGCCACAGATGGATGGAGAGATCGTTTTATTATTATGGAAGAATATGGGGGGGGGGAAGCACAATTCTAAATCTGAAATCTGTTTCTTGCCTCAAGGAATTCATTATAACTGAGAGCAGTAGGGTAATTGCTTTCAGGATTTAGTATAGAAAAAGGAGTTGCTGACGCATATCAATTGCTGAACTTGAAGTATTTTAAATTGCATGTTTCTGCATGAGTCACAAATTCACAAAAATATTAAACCTCATATGACTAATATTTTTTCTAAAAATACTGTGATTATACAGTGTTAGAGGTTGCTTGAAAGTCCTCCATAATGGTGACATATTGTTTCTAGAACACTATGGCTTTCCGTTCATCCATAAGAAGTGAGTTCATCATCTATTTGTACACATTGGGAGCTTGCTGCCAAGAGCATCTTCTCATCATGTATAAATTGGGAAGGCATCTACACGGTCTTTGCATGTATGTATCCCAAAATAGTCCTGTGTCAGAAAGACACTACTTGTAAAGCAGCCTTCAAGGAAGTCTTTCCTAGCCTGAAACCAAGATGTATTAGTTTCTCTCTTGCATATCCTGGCACCCCATCCTATTCCTGTGGCAATTCTCTGCCCCATCTTGTTACCTCAGCTTCAAATTCATCAAAGGACCAAACCTCGGTGGAATGAACCAGAAGTCATAAATGGTGAAATACAGGGATTCCATACAGAGGAAAATCTTATCTGACAAATCTTTCAGAAAAATATATACTGATTTTACTATGTGCTTTCCCCCCCCTACAGTCATATGCTGGTTGCTCTGTAGGTTCTTCAGAACAAGGCAGAGGATCAACAGTGACAGCAACAGTACAATCTATGCCACCTTTTTATCACACATCTTCCTGCTCTGATCCTTTTTTTGAAAAGCAGCTATCCTTCTGGTCCTTTCTCCTGGCTGAATGTCTTACCTTTGCTCTCTGCAGATGCATACCTGCAAAGAGCAGGAGCAAAAGGTTCATTAGTAAGCAGCTTACTCATGAGTATTGAAAAGTACTGGGTTTGATACATCAAGACTCGGACCACGACATAGGAGAAGACGCGTTTATTAGTACTTCACATATGGAACAAAAACTAACGGCCGGGCGGCCAACTATATACATATGGGGAGGGACGCCCTTTGGTTCTATTGGCGGGTTTAAACTTCCTACCAATGTCTCTATTGGCTCCTTACTGGAAGTTCAGGAGCCTAGTCCCTATTGTCTTGGTGGATCGAAGCTTGGCTGCCTCTGGCTGGCACCTGGCAGTGGTCTGAGGACATAGCAAGTATATTTGGATGCTAGAGCTCCTGGCTACTGCATAAATTAGCTTGCTCTGGAGCCATCCTTCCTGAGCTAAGATGAAAATGTGTGAGCCAGAGGCTAAAAAACTAGCTCACACTAACTCAGCTTAGAGGGAACACTGCTTAAGATTGCTCCCTAAACTATCTTCATATTAGTTATGAACAAGAAGGGGGACCCGCAATACTCGTGGGTGGGGGAGTATTCCCCACGGCTCCCCTCCTGCAGAAGCAGGAGCTCCTCAGGAGGAGGAAGCAGCAGCAGATGAGCCCAGCAGGCGGACCCATGAGGCTCACCAAGCCTTCTCCCTCTCCCCCCCCCCGGTAGCAGCAGCGAAGCCTAAGGCCCGCCAAGCCTTCAACCCTTCCGTTTTTTTTTGTGGTGGTGAGGCCTGAGCGGTTCACAGTCACTGGCCCTCCAAGCCTTCTCCCACCCCCTCCCTGGTGGCAGTGGTGGTGAGGAGCCCTGAAGCCCACTAAGCTTTCTCCCACCTCCCTCACCAGTGGCAGTGAGGAGCCCTGAAGTCCACCAAGTCCTCTCCTCCCTCCCTCCCCCAGCACTGGCAGCAGTAAGGCCTGAGTAGCTCAGAGCCGCTGCCCCCAAGACTTCTCCTCCCCCACGGCAGCGAGACAATTGCCAGGGCGTTCTCTGCGCATGCGCAGGGAACACTCTTTGGGGGGGATTTAAATATCCCCCATATATTTTTTTCAACTTTTTAGATTTTTCTGCACACCTGGGGAGTGCTCCAAGTGTACAGGAAAATCTCCCTGCCCCCCAAGTGCCCCTGATGTGCGGATTTAGATATCCGCACGGAGGGGGCAACTTGGCTATTAGATATCTAGATTAACATATACTGTGACTTTTAAAAATTCTTTCTAAAGTCCTAGAATACACACTTGGATCATGATTCAACCAAAGTTAAGATTTTTTAAGTCCTGTTGGTTTAAATGAAAGGGATTCTGGCATGGGGTTGGCCACTGGTAATCAGTGAAACTTCAAAGTTTGGCAGGGTTATGCCTTATTCAACTATTTGCAATACTGCAATGATTCTGCAGCATTTCCAGAGATGCACATTTAATTGATCCCCCCCATCTGTTCCATTATAGCTACAAATAAAAGCTAGAAGGTAATTGGACTGATTTCTATTTACTACATGAACAAATTGTAGATATATATTACACCAGAAATTAAACATCCCTTCTGTTAATGCTTCAGTTTCAGTTTTTTGGGGACTGAACTAGTTGTACTAACCTAAAGCAATTCACCTGAGCAGAAACCAACTATAATTTGTTTAGAAAAATGGGGGTGGGAGTGTGGACAACTATGCTTTATAACAAATATGCTTTTCCGGATCAGCCGTGCAATCCTAAACAGACTTACACCTAAATCTATGGGTTTAGAAGGGTGTAACCCTATTTAGGATTGCACTGCTAAACTGATTGGGTTTAGAAGGGTGTAACCCTATTTAGGATTGCACTGCTAAACTGATTGTAATGTATCCATCCCAGACCACGTGCGTGGCCATTTCACCACGCGGTCATGTGAAGCGGCCAAGCTTCGCTCTCAGTAACAATGGGACGAGCGGATCCTAGCCGGCACCTATCGGCAGGCTAGGCTCCCGGCCAAGATCCTATGGAACTCTCAGCCACTGTAAATAGCCAATCACTTGTGTGTGGGTGTGTTTTGGGTGCGGGGTTGTTGCACATATAAACCAGCCTGCGAGCTGGTTACTTTGTCTTGTTCGGAGCTGAAATAAAGTATGAGAGCTGAAATCACTAGTAAGTCTCAGTACTTTTCACTGATCAAGCAATACGAGTGCGAACCCTCTCAACTAGAGTTGCCAACTTTTAAACTAGTCTCTCTAGTTGTCGCTTTCACACTGGTTTGATCTGCAGCAGTTAGGGATGCCAGCCTCCAAGTGGGACCTGGGGATCCCCTGGAATTACAGCTCATCTCCCAGACTATGGAGATCAGTTGTCCTGGAGAAAATGGATATTTGGAGAGTGGACTCTACAACATTGTACTCCACTGAGTTCCCCGTCCTCCCCATGCTCCATCCTCAAATCCCCAGGAGTTTCCCGATCTGGATCTGGCAACCATACCTCCCCTTCCCCTGCTGGTGGCCGGGGGGGGGGGGGACCTGGCAACCCTAGAAGCAATGATCAGGTTATGTTATTTAGGTCCAAGCTTAAGCTGACAAGCTCATTTCCACTCATTAAACCTCTATTATATAGACAGGACAACTTTTTTTCTTGGTCAGTTGGCTACCCTGCCCTCAACATAACACAAACGTAATTACCATAAACATAATTACCATATTTCCCTTTATTTACTGCAGAATATTACACCCACTTTTTTAAAATTTGGAAGAATACTATGAGAAGTACAACCAAAAAGGCACGCACTCAGTCTTCACATATGATTTCATTCAGTTTTTTCCTGTACTGTTAAGAAAAATACCTTACATGAAGAAATCTTGAGTCAGTGACTGTTGTTACATGCTCACATTCAAATCATTCATTTATTCATTTTTGAGAATGTACATGGAAAAGTCTAGTGCAGAAAACTAATCCAAATAAGGCTTGTGGCTAAAATACATACATGTATAGTGCAGAGTCATTAAGGTTAAAAACCATGAAAAACCACAGAACATAACACGAACCTCTGCTTCAATAAAGTAAATAATTTGTTCTGTGCATAAGAAACAAAAATCAGTACTCTTTGAGTCAGAGATATCTTATTATTGGTCTGTTTCTCTACCCACTTTTTAACTATTCATTGTTTCAAAGCATTATTTATTTATTAGTTTGATTTAACTATCATCTGTTTCAAATGGTTACGCTTTTGCCCGGTATAAGGACTTGTCTATATTAAATAAACACAGTGTAAAATGACTGCACTGTAGCTTTGTTATTCTTTTATTTAAGTATCATTTATGTCTCTCATAAAAATATGTGAGGAAGCTTAGTATGATGGCATTCATATGAAAATCATGAGAGATAATATACTGGGCCAATGTTCAGAAGAACATTCAGCTATATTGTACATTCTAAGAGGTAGAAAACAATTAGTGTTCAGTGATGGTCAAAGCACATAATAGATAGTAAGTAATCATTCAAAATATGAACTATAAAATTTCATTAGTGTATACTCTTACCCAGGAGATCACCTTGGTACATCTAAGATTGGTTAAAAATTTATCTCTTGTGATGCAATTAGCACGAACTGCTGTTAATAAATAAACATTAAAGTTTCACTTGCCCAGATAAGATCTTATCATGCACTTCTTTGGTTAATAGAACATAAGTTTTTTTAGAACTGTCCAAAAAATAAAGCGGATCACTGATTGCAGATGGATTAAATCCTTCCCCCACCAGCTTAAACTTTTGTTGCTTGAAAGTTCCTGTAACTTCCATTATTTCCTACAAAAATGAAAAGATTTTTGTTTAAAGTAGAAAAATTTAATACATGGAGTGAAGAACAGACTATTTGGTCTATCAGAAACTCTACATCAGTATGCTATCTAAACCCTTCCCTGATAATGGATTCTGTTTAAACTTGAGAAGGAACTTTTGAGAAAGAAGATTTCTCTCAGCAGTGGACAGAGAGAGGAACATGCCTTCTTCCTCCTTTTTACACTAAAAAACCACAGGAATTTGGCATGGGGGAGGGGGAAGGGAGCTCCCACTGCTTCTTTGGAGCTTCAAAACTCTCTCTCTCTCTCTCTCTCCCCCCCCCCTCATTCTGGCTGGCCTGCACAAATGCAGAACTCATTTGGAACTGCACAAATATGATGATGATGATGATGATGATGATGATGATGATGATGATGATGATGAACAGAAAGTAATACAAGGAGAGAACTGACCCCTTCCTCCTCACTACCATGACATTTATGCATATCACACACACACACACACACATCTGCTTTTTGTGCCATTCAGTATGGTCCTCAGTTTCAACCCACAACTTACTTCACCTTGTAGTCCTCCTCCCCAAATTCTTGTGTTAAATTACTGGTCTGAACCAGGTCCTAGAATCTCCTGGCTTAGGTATGCCATTGACAAAATCAAAATATGGAATGTCTCCACTCAAAGATGCAGGGATCCCAGCTGAGACTTATAGGAGATGCTGATGTGTTTGTGCATTTTGGCAAAGCTGCCCGTCACTGAATCAGAAGCCATTACGGAAAACTCAGCCCAATAAGTGGTCTTTCAAAGCAACTTCATTATCTGCAGTATTTCTATTTTCCGACGTTAGTTCTTTACTACCCTGAATCTCATTTTATCATTCTCAATCCATGTTTTAATCTCTCCAATCCCTTTATATTATCTTCCCTGGTACAACTCTTCCCAATTTAGAATAATCTGTAGCTTTCATTAGTGTGCCATATAATTCCACCTCATTAATGGAGAGAGTTAGTAGGGCTCAAAGTACCACTGATCTCTGAAATACCCATTAGATAGGTTCCTCTAAATTTATCATGTTGTTGTTTTTCAGTATGTATGAATTAATAGATTGCTGAGCTGATCAGTGATCTTCTACTAGCCATGAAAATGTGTCTATAACACATACATTTTTATATATACATATACATATATATTACCTGGTGTCTTAAAAATAGAGGGCAGGCATAACTGGGTAGATATGTCACCACATGTTGATATAGTTTTTCCAAATCTAAAGATTTATTAGGCTTTAAGATGACAGAGGCCATGCCTGCTTTTCCTTCATAACCTGTGGGAAATTATGATAGAATTAATGCTAAATTGACAGTGATTGGTACATTTCCAGTGATCAAATGTGATATACCCAGTAAATTCATGGGGTTGGGGCAAGGTTAGTTAAACTGATCTTTCCCATCTTCTCTTTTCCACAGAAAGCCTAGGGCTCTGAAAGTCCTCTACTGAGGGTCAAAACCATGTAAACAAATGCAAGATGGCATAGGGAGTGGTATGGGGAGAAGAGAGAACTGGACATAATTGCCTCCGCCTACCTGTTCTGCTAATGGAGAAAACATAGTGAGGTACGCTTTCCATTTGCCAGAGGGAAATTTGCCAGATTCCCCTCCTTACTGTGTTTTCCTCTGCTACTTCATGACAGATAGCTGGGACATGAAGGAAACAGCTATGGGTATGTTCAAAAAAAATTATGTGATGGACAGTCAAGGGTTAATGCCTATCAGAGTCTGAGAACCTTTTAGTGACAGGCAGTTCAAACGGAATTCTGTTGAGTGTCAGTTAAGAAATAACAGTTGGGAACTGACAGTTGAAGAAGAGAGAGTTTAGCACTGACTGCGGAATGGGAAAGAAACTGAAGGAGTGAGTGGATCACGGTGGACCCCCATTCAAGGCGAAAAGGGATAGAGCTTCTAATCAAGAGAAGTAATCCTTGCCCAACGGAAAGGAAAATAGCTAGGGGTGTGCAAAATCAAAAAATGCCCCCCCCCAGATATATTGGACTCCAAAAACATCCAGGATTCATGAAAAAGACAAATTTTTGTACCAGTATGGTATTCAGATTTTTTTGGGAATCCCATTTTTTTTCTTGCTCCATTATAGTCTATGGGACCATTATAGCCAATGGGGAATCTATCTGGGTGTATACAGGGGTCTGGGGAGCTGTTTTTTGAGGTAGAGGCACCAAACTTTCAGTGAAGCTTCTGGTGCCTACTCTTTAAAGACCCCCTAAGTTTAAAAAAGATTGGATTGGGGGTCCAATTCTATGGGCCCCTAAAGAAGGTGCCCCCATCCTCCATTGTTTTCAATGGAGGGGGAAAAGAAAGCATTTAGGGGAAGGCACCAGTTTTTTCTTGGAACTAATACATTGCACTGGTACTTCTCGGCACTCTGTACATACACTGGCTCCTTACTTGGCTTTGTTGAGCTGGCATTGCCACAGTGACACTGGTTCTGCTGGGCACTCTGTACATGCACTGGCTATGCTAGGTTTGCAAAAAAAACCAAAAACCCGGCTTGAATTTGGTGAGCTGTCATCACCACAGTGGCACTGGTTTTGCAAAAATGCCCCCCACTTTCAGTTTCTAATGCTGAGCCTCTCTGGTTTAACATCAGCTTTTTTGGAAATAATGGAGAACTGGGACATCTTCTTTAGAGGCCCATAGAATTGGATCCTCTGGCCCAAGCTTTTTGAAACTTGGGGGGGTCTTTTGAGTAGAGGCCCTAGAAGCTACACTGAAAATTTGTTGCCTCTACCATAACAAACACCCCCCGACCCCTGAAACAGCGCCCCCAGACCCCTGCATACCCCCGACAGTTTCCCCATCATAGCATATGGGGATCATTGACTGTAATTGTCCCAATAGGCTCTAATGGAGCCCAAGACATTTAAAGGTGTTGCAGTCCCTTTAAATGTATTCATGAAGCTGCAGCTTCACCTGGAATAGCATTTAAAGGTAGTGCACTCTCTTTAAATGCCAATAAACTGTGGTTATCCTGTTTTCCCAAATAATCCCAAATTTGGCAGGGATTATCCTGTATTGGCTAAAAAATGGAAAATATACCCTATATCTGGCTGAAAGTTTAGCTGATAAATACCAGTAAGGTATTTTTTGGGCTTGGATAGAGTCAAATTCACACCCCAAGAAACAGCTCTAAAATGAGGAATGATCCCTGGTCTATGTCTAAAGGATTTTGGGAATTTGGTTATATTTTCCTGCCTTCTAAACCTTAAGAGTCCATGAAACTCAGGAACCTATGCTTGAGTGTTTAAGCAGACACTGAAAAGCCTCTCTCCTCAAAGTTTCAAAGACCTTGTTGAAAAGCAAAAACACTAAATCATCTAAAATTAATCAGTGGCAACTAGTCTGCAGCTCTGATTATTCAAAATTCAGGGAAGGTTTGGCCATTAAGACCATCAGGGAAAGTCTTGGTGGGCTGAAGGTCTGGAGGCATCCCCCCAGGTTCACCCCTACAACAGGTGGGCCAGCTCAAAGACAGCGGGAGCTGCCACAAGCTAACACTCCCCATTTTGCACCCTCCATCAATTCCCACCACCGTGCACCAAGCACGCAGGAATTGCCACCGTGAACTGCTGAAGGTGATGGGTGTGAAGGCAGAGGCAGAGGGTTGACCGTTTCCCTCCTTCCTTTCCCCCTTCCATTAGGAGTTGGGCTCTTTAACAGGGCCATTTTTGTCCTCCAGTCCACCCCTGCCAATTTCCTGGCTCAGGGTGGATCTTTCAAGATCCTCATCACCCTTTTCATATTTATGTTGAAGGGGAAAAAATCTCCCTTTTGGAATGACTCTGTGCACGAAGGGGTGCTTCAGGAATTTAACAGGCAAGCAAGGTTTTATCTAAGGAAGATGATCATTGGCCCTGGTCACACGGGCAGGAAAATGCGGGGGGGAAGCGTGGCTGTTTGCCCCGGAGCAAAATAACGCACGGCTGCGCAATCAGATGTCCCGTAGAGGTCCCATCAAGGTCCCATGATTAGGGGGGAGGTGCCGATCACAGAACAATCCTGCGGTGCGGCAAAGAAGCGGCCTCTCTAGCAAAAGGCTCTGCAGATTTAACCCCTTCCAGGGCTGCAGAGGAATGCAAACTGTGTTCTCCGTCCAGTCCCCTCCAGGAGGAGCTTCAGCCGGCCGTCCTCCCACCACGCCCCTCTGCACCTCCCCCTCTGCTGCCCGGTGCAGAGAGTTCCTCTCGAGCAGGCCGAGCCAGGAGTGGGGTGGGGACAGAAAAGAGGAGGAGGCTGTGTTGTTTGTTTTTAAACCAAGTGTGCGCATGCGCCATTGGGTGCTTGTGCGCATCCCGTGGAGACTTGGGGAAAAAACCCCTTTTAGCGACGGGACATGGGCGGGCACTGGATGCCACGACCTACCACCGGAAACGCGATCAGGCACCCGCCCTTGCCCCGCGGTTTCCAGAAACTATTACCTTGGAGGTACTAGTTTTTTACCCTGCATCTTTGGCGGGAAGCCTCGGGTTCGCCACGGGAGCTTTACGCTTCCCAGATGTGGCACTGTGATCACACCCAGAAAATCTGCCTATCTTCCGTCTCTGTAGCGTGGCTAATGCTCCGTGTGACCGCAGCCATTATATGTTGAGAAAAAGTTTCACACTAAAACATAAATTTTCTTATTAACCTTTACATTTCTGATTTAATAATTCATAGAAACTAAAATATGTATAGTCACCTGAGCTTGGTAATAATTATAGACATTTATTTCGGTTATATAAAAAAATCAGAGATCTTTCCATAGATGCCCTTCCTGAAAATATGGCATTTTCATTCAGCAAGGAAAGCTGATAACTCTTCAAGTTTGTAATCTTTTAAAAATTCAAAGTTATATCTTGATATTGAGAGCCACATTTGATAAGAAGATTGATTTCTAAAAAAGATTTCTCTTAAGGAAAATTCCTTTGCAAGGAATATACCTTCTGCAATGAAAATATTTACAAATTAAGCATGTCAAGAAAAAACAACTTAAGTGAAAGAAAAACAAATAAACATTCTTACCCAGCACAGGAATCCCATAAACACTGGCTTCCTGTATAAAATCCAACATACCAATGACATCAGAAACTTCTGTAGTGGCAACATTCTCCCCTTTCCACCTAAAACAAAACATGTGCAGATACATATGCATAGTAACTCATGAAAGCCATGGATCAAGGTTTTAATGTTTTACTGCTTGTATAAAGCTAGCAAGCATTTTTGTGGAATACAAGATATATATTTTTTCAAATGGGATTGGAGCTAAAATTTCTTATGAACAACTTCTTAACAAGTGTAGGTTTTGTTGCTGTTGTCACACTATTAATTTGCATAATTTAAATTGCTAATGTAATAATATTTTAAGGTGTTATTCATATTTCACTAACATATTTCCTACTTTTTACTTTAGAATTAGAACTATCTGTCAAAGGTTCTTATTAATGGTGACAAATTGGACAACAGCAAAAAATGCTGGCAAATGAGTTCTCATGCCTCAGGGTAACTAGGCACCACCAGTCCCTTTAACTAATCCTTCAGCCAAGAGACCAAAGGGTAGGGTCTATATCCCTACTGGGTCTTAACAATTTCTCTGGCAGCTGTAACGAGTAAAGGGCTAAAGTACTGGATTTAGACTGAAGCCTCCAAACCCAAGAACACCACAGAATATAACTAATAAGATTTATTGAAGGAATGTGAGATATATACAATATAAGAGCAGTGTACAGCAAGGAGAAAATAATAAAAGGCCCCAGTCACACGGGCTGGATAACGTGGGAGGGAGGCGGGGCTATTTGCACCGCCGCAATTAGAGCCACCAGAACGTGATTCCACACGTCGGCGGCACACCATGGTTCCTTCCCTCCATGCCTGCGCGTCAACGAGGGGCCAGAGGAAAAATCGGTGGCCAGTGCAATCACACCGAGGGACTCCGGAGGCAGCCCGTGGCAAACCAGTTGCTTAGTACTTTCGAACAGGTAGTTTTTTATCGTGCATTTTTGGTGGTATGTCACCGGTTGGTCACAGGTGCGCTCCACTTCCCAGATGTTGTGGCGGGATTACGCCCAGAAAATCCGCCATTCAATTGTCACTCTCCTGCGGCAAATCCTCTGTGTGAACGGGGCCCAAGTTAAATACCTAACCTAAGGTACTTTTATAAGCATTAGTTCTCTAATCCAGATGTTACCTGACCAGACTGAATCCAAACAGAGTTTCAAAGCCCAAAGTCCCAGGCAGGTGTTCCAGTCAGTAAGGATTCCAGCCTGGTCCAGAATCAAGAAGTGACCCAAAGAAAGATACAATCCAGACAAAGAGTACAGACTAGAATGAAAGATCTTCCTTTATGCTAGGCTCTCTGCATTGGCATGATTCTAGTTGCCCAACTAAATGTGTTGCTAACCAGGTGACCTTAACCAATGAGTTGTGTTGACAGCAGGGGTCTTAACCAATCAGCTAGTAGTATGAGGCCACATACTGTGCAGCTGCAGAAAGGCCCAATTAAACAAGCCACCTGCTCCCACCCATGGGTCCTTGTACTAATGAGATGGAATTTAAATGCAAAACTCCCTCCCAGTTCCTGGCCTTGAAATCTCCAGGCCCCATGACTTCACCAGCTCCTGTGTCAGACTCCCATCTCTTCCTTATCTTCCTCTCTGATACCCTGGTCAGCATGGCCTCCAAATCCCAGAGAAAGAAAAGCTTCTATGATTTTGTAGTCATGAGGCCTGAACCAACGTTCCTGAAAAGGAAAGAGACTACTAGGCAAGCCAGTCTCTTGACATTATCCATAGACATTTTTATTGTAATATGTTCCTTGAAACAGGAGAAATTACACATCATTGGCAATTTGTCAGAAAATACCTGAACCTAAACAAAAGCTTTTGGCATCAGCACAGTAAGCAAAGTACAAAGCAACATTATATATTCATGTCTGTATTTTGATCAGTCAGGTGACTTAAATTCTGTACCTGAATGTATCTCCTGTCCTGTCCCAAAAGTAAAGAAAGTTATCTTGATCTTGGACCATCAGATCTCCTGTATTGAAATAGCAATCTTCCCTCTTAAACACATCACAGAGTAATTTCTTTGCTGTATCTTTCTTATTGCCAGCATAGCCAAAGAATGGATTCTTTGAGTTCACTTTGGATATTAGAAGGCCAGCTTCACCTGTGAGCAAAATGATATATAGCACAGATCTAGATTAGATTAGATTACTACAATGCAGTCTACATGGGGCTGCCCTTGACAAATGTTTGGAAATTTCAATCTCAGAATGCTGGAGCCAGGATGTTGACACGAGTGAGCCGTAGGGATCATATCACTCCAGACTTGGCCCATCTACACTGGCTCCCAATCTGTTTCCTGCCTGATATTTTAAGTTCATTAAGGTATAGTACACAAATATTATTAGAACTTCCATTTTAAACTTTTATTAAAGCATAACAATTGCATTCTTAACACTGACTAAATCAACAGAAAATTATACCATCCACCGTTGTTACATAAATAATTAAAGGAGCGCAATTACATTAATCCCAGCAAGGAGAGGATGTCAACAGAGTGCCAACTTCTCTGGTTATTTGGGATACTTTTCAGATTATTTAGTCTAAGGATGTGGACTTGGAGGACAGGGGCCTACCACTTGTATGACTTTTTCCCTTCCTGGCTACTTAAATCTGCCAGGCAGACTTGCTTGACTAGGTTTGAGAGGTGGTTAATGCCTCCTTGAGAGTGGCAGTGGTGTGTCTACTTCTAAAGAAGCTTACACTGGACTGCGGATAGCTCAATAACTATTGACCAGTCTCAAATGTTCCATTCCTGAGCAATGTGACTGAACAGAGGTAAGTGGCTGGACAACTTCAAGCTTTCCTGGAGGAGGCAAATTGTTTAGATCTCTTCCAATCTGGTTTTAGACCTGGTTATAGGACCAAAACAGTCTTGATCACCCTGGTGGATGACCTATGCCGAAAAATGGACAGAGCGAGTGTGATTCTGTTGATTCTTCTGGTCCAGGAGTCCCATGATCAGTCCTATAACAAGGAATAAACCCAGATTAGAAGGGATCTAAACAATCTGCAGATTTAAGCAACCAGGAGGGGCAATGGTCATACAAGCAGGTGATAGGTCTCAGATTTCCAAGAATCCTGTCCACATCTGCATCCTGAATGAACTGGAAAGAATACCACACAGCTGGACAAGCTGGCACCATCTAACTCTACCACTGCCAGATTCATATGGATATGAGAGATTTTATCCATGAAGTGTTGGGCAAACTGGATATAGTGGGCCACTGGGCTGTTTACCTCATCCTTTGGGCATATCCCAAGAGATCTCTGACCACCCAGAAGTCCTACACTGCATGGATGCAATGTTGGCAGAGACCTATCTTTTCTTTACCATCATAATTGCCTAAGAACAGGCTTTAAAATAAGCTACCCAGGCTCTAAAACCTCAGAGAGCGCGACAATGTGGTATTCAGTTGACCCTCCTCATCTCATATAAATCTCAACAGGAAATAATAGCTGGCCTCACAAACAAAATGAACAAGAGATCTTAGCAGAAAGAGATTATTTATATTTATAAAGTAAAACAGAAACAAAATGGTTCACAGTGTGGCCACCAGATGGCAGCAGCAGTTAGACTCTATAAATAAAGTACTTCAGTAAATTTTTCAAACCCTGCAAATTAAAAAAAAAAAATCCTCGAAACCATACCAGCAAATACGAATGACATATTTACTTTAAAAATGTATATATATGTGCCATATATGGCACAAATATGTGTATATATGGCACATATTAACAAACACCATTAACTGCACTGAAATTAAATAACAATTTGGATAAGGCATTCAAAATCTAAATGATATGTAAATTACAAATAATATAAGCTTAAGAATCTCCTTATTGCTTTCAATATGGCATGAAAATGGGCACAAATCTGCACAATATATCTTTATTAAGGAAGCACCAAACAGGAGCCCCAAAATTTCTGTCCAGTCATGAAGCCATCTCAACTGCACCTCATTTTGAGGCTGAGGCAAGGGGTTGTTCATACAGCTGAAACTAGCCAAACTTTTCTTCGAACAAACAGTTGACACTGAGGTGCAGTATTAGCAAATTGTATTTTCCATTATCTCAAGTTTTAAGTTCAGTGACTGTGTATAAAATGTTCTTATAGAATTCCACAGTGTTTTGCTGGAATTGCATGGCTCTCTGCTCCTGCTTTGTGTCTCCACTAGCACCCAGCAGAAGTTGCTAGCCATGTATTTAGGAACCAGGCCTTCACATTTAAGAAACATCTCCTTATCAGTAATAATGATAGTTAAAATCTTCCTACCAAAAATTAAAGCTAAAATTTCAACATTCTTAATTATATTGATATAAGCTTATATTGATATTCTTGGTAAATCCAGATACAAGTTGTTTTCTCAGAGGATATTGTTAAATACTTGGTTCAAGGCGCATTGCAGTGAACAGCTCTACTTTATTAAGTGATTCAGCACATACAAAACTGAAACCTCAGGGCAACAGCCCTGTTTAAATAGCATGCAAAAAACACACCCAAACACACCCAACTCCCAATGATAGGCTATTTACATAACATTAGTTTCTCATTGGTCACCTCCAGAGTCCTGGTGGGCTATTGTTCTTGAGCTCCAAGCTCAGCCAGTCTCTGGTACCCAGCCCTGGAACAATCCAGCCCTAATACATAACAGGTATGATTTGTACCTTCCAGGGTTGCAGCTAGTGGCTGGCACCTGGCACGAAATGGGAGCCAGCATTGTGTGTAACATGCTGTCACTTCTGGAGAAAACCCAGAAGTGACATTATATCACTCTAGGAACTCCTGGAAACTGTGGTAAAGCCAGGTACAATGCCATAGACTGTACCCTCCAAACCAGCCATTTCCTCCTGAGGAACCATTGTTCCCAATCTCCAGGGGAGGGCTGGAGATCACTCAAAATTACAACTGAAATTACTTCAGGTAGCAGAGATCAGTTCCTCTGGAGAAAATGGTGGACTCTGTGTCATTATACTTTGCTGAGGTTGCCACAGCAAATTGACACTGAGTGCCCAAGGCCAGGACACTCTCCCAGAGCCTCTTTCTAGAGCTTGTTGTGTTTATTTCCACAATGAGACTTATTCCTAGTGTATAAATAAGAATAGATACTTTTGAAACTTTTCATTAATCCTATACTTTTAATGAGTAAATATTTGATACTTTCATTTATAAGAGATAGCCAATTAATATATTTTTAAATGCAGAAAATAAATTTCATCTGACTTGACACCCCTTAAAGCCTGATGCCCTAGGTAACTGCCCAGTTCATCTATGTGTTTGAACTGACCCTGTAGAAAGGGCTGTCGATTATCAGTCCTTTCCTTCAGCCACACTTACCAATGCTTCTGCTGTTGCCCCTCCCCATTATCGAAGTGATGAAAACAACTTGCCATATTAGGCATTTTCAGGGCTGCCAAGCCCCCCCCCCCCCCCCCCGGTGGAGGCAGGGAACACCCTACCCTCTGGTCTCACTGCCAGCAGGAGAAAAATTAAGGGAAAAGGCAGTTCATCTATTTAACAGACGTTCATACAGAAGATGACAAAGGGTTGCTCTGTAAGAATCACCAGAAACTCTATGGTTTTACCACAGAGTCCTAGAGCTACCCCTTGTCATTTCCTGTATGAATTTCTGATAAGTACAGAAGGATGTATTTTTCTTTAAAGAATTCTCCCATGACACTGTACTTGCCACAACCATCCACTGCAACTCTAAGCATCTTTGAGACCTAATATAAATTTTGTAACAGGGTATTGTCATTTAAAATGCTGGGCCTATCCTGATAAAGTCCTTACCATTCTTAACTCTTTCACACCATCCATGTTTATTTCTGATTGGCTCCTCTTTTTGAAAATCATACTTAATCAAGTCAAAAGGAAAAAAGAGCTGAAAAAATAGAAATAAAAACGGACTCAGTAATGTTTGTACAATGACATCAATGGCATAACAAATTAATGAACATTGAATTGATTTTATACAGGCTTTTAATGCCCTTCTACTTACCTAAAAGTAACTTTTAAAATACCACAATGTAAGATATGCCCTCCTGGATCAGACCAGCAGTCCATCTAGTCCAGCATCCTGTTTCACACAGTAGCCAACTAGCTGCATCGAGGACTAACCACAACTCACGGAAGCCTTATTTATTTTATATGCCAATAAAGGACTCACTGATTGATTGAATTCATAGAGGCCTTCCCCCGGCACTGCAATTCTGAGTTCTACTGCTTGTGAACATTTCCTTTAGTCATCATGACTAGTAGCCATTGATGGACATATTGTTCACAAATGTGTCTAACTCATTTTTAAATCCAAACCATTTCTATGAGCAGCTATGGTAGTGAATTCCACAACTTAATCCCTTGTTGAGTGCAGAAGTACTGCCTTTTGTCTGTATTTAACTTACTGTCCACCAATTTCATTGGGTGCCCCAGACTTCCAATATTATGAGAAGCCAAGAAAAAGTTATCTCTACCCAATTTCTTCACACCCTGCATAATTTTAGATTATCTATCATGTCTGCCCTTAATTCTCATCTACCTAAATTAAAACCCCAAACTCTTTAAGCCTTGATCATTTTGGTTGTCCTCTTCTGCACAATCTTGTGGCTCTACAATGTCTTTATTTGAGATACGACTATGAGAACTGTACACAGTATTCTAAAGGAGGTTGTACCATAGATCTAAACAAGGACACTTCACTATTGACTGCTTTACTTTCAATTCTTTAATTAATAATCCATAGCACGGAGTTTGACTTTTTCACCTTTAACACACACACTCAATCAACATTTTCACTGAACTTTCTACTACAAAGACCTCTTTCAGTTACTGCCCAAACCCTATCAGCATATACTTAAAATTAGGATATTTTGTTTCACTAGGCAACCCCTTACACTTACCTACACTGAAATTAATTTACCACACTGCTGCTCACTTACTAAATTTGGAGAGATCCTCCTGAAGTTCTTAATAATAGGCAATGATTCACAATCCTGAATATTGCAGTATCATCTGCACACTTGGTCACCATGCTTCTCACCCTCAATTCCAGATAATGTATGAACAAACTGAATAGCACCAATACCCACCCTTATAGGACCCCACTGCTTACTTCCCTTCATTGTGAGAACTGTTCTTTTATTTCTGCCCTCTGCTTTCTACTTTTTAACCAATCTTTAATCTGTAAGAGAGAATTACATCTAGATGCCTTCACAGTGGATATTCATTTGGGTTATTGGGATACTGAAGAGCTGCAAAGTTCGTCTTAAAATGGCACTGGAACTTATTGCAATAGTGACCATTATATACCCAATTCTGAACCACACCACAGGAAATAAGACTAATAGATCTGCATAATGGAGCTAGGGGCAAATGGGAGGATTCCTCTACAAACCTGAAGGAAGTACCAGGTTTGCAGAAACATCTGAAATCTGAGGGGGAAAACCCTATCCAGTATAAGAGAAACATTGCCTCTAGCTGTAAGAAAAGAATGGCCACTGAGTTCTTAATGGCAGAAGAATAAGAAAAGAGTTGGTTTTTATACCCCACTTTTCTCTACCCTAAGGCATCTCAAAGTGGCTTACAATCACCTTCCCTTCCTCTCCCCACAACAGGCACCCTGTGAGGTAGGTGGGGCTGAGAGAGGTCTGAGAGAGCTGTGACAGGCCCAAGGTCACCCAGCAGGCTTCATGTGGAGGAGTGGGGAATCAAACCTGGTTCTCCAGATTAGAGTCCACTGTTCTTAACCACTACACCATGCTGGCTCTCAATGGCAATTCTGAAGCTTGCTATGCCACCACAATAACATTGCTGAGCCTTATGAGGCCAAAATAGCCCTGGAAAAGATCCCATCCCCCTCCTCTGTCCTGGGGACATGCCTGATGGTGTCTATCAAAGACTCCTTACAGACACAGCTGGCCTCAGCCCAGCCTGATAGCAACAACAACAACACAACTGACCCCGGCAAGTTTCTTATGATTCCTTGTAGTCGTTCCTCCCCCCCTTGCCATATGTATATTTCAAATACTGAATAGATTGTAAACATATTTTTGCTTTCTTTAAAAAAACAACATCCCATTTTATAGCACTCTCTTATTAAACTTAAAAAATGTATGGGTATGTCTAAGTCAACAGACATGATGTTCCCATCTTCAGTACAATTTGAAGCATCAGTATTTCTTCCAGGTGGGAAAATGTTGAGGGAATGTTAGATACAGAATCGCCCTGGGAGGAAAAATTGCAGCTCAAAACCACATTCAAATACCTCCAGGCAATGCTATACTGACAACAAAGTCACCCCTGAACAGCCATAAATCTATATAGAAGTTACCATAAAATTTGATTACCAAAGGAAGCGAAAGCGGCATGGAGTGTGGAGGCTAACATAAAATCTGATGATCAAAGGAAGTGACAGCAGCATGCAATGCAGAGGGGAATTTCTGTTCCAACGTGGGTTTCATAAAACAATGGAGGGAAAAGCCAATGCAAAATCAGCCCTATTCAGGTTCTTCTTCAGATTTACCATCTAGAGACTGCTTATTGCCTTTTGCTTCTACCTTTACCCTTTTTTTATCATGTAGACTTCAGCTTTATAAAGATTGTCAGTAAAGGTAAAAGAAGGGCATTTTCACACAAGAAATAATTGACGTACACCTGATGGCTACTGGCTTTGAAAGAGGATTAGACAAAGTCATGGAGGAAAGGTCCATCAATGGCTATTAGGCATGATGGCCAAATAGGACCTCTGTGTCTGAAAATACTGTAACTCTGTGCCAATTTCTGTGAGGCAGAGAAGAAGACTGTAGCCTGTTTGTCCTTTCTGGGTCAGCCACTATAGTAAACAGGATGCTGGACCACTGGTCTGATCCAGCAGAGCTCTTTTCTTTTTTAAAAAAGAAAATATATAGAAAGCGAATTCCTTTGAGCTAGACAGATTTTAAGTACTCTTTCTTATTAATTTAATTATCTCATATTGGATATAGTGTTAATAAGCCAGAAACAGGTGGAAACCCTAATCTCTAGAAAGTTTTCATAAACATAACAAATATCCTTTTCTTGATTTAAAAATCCTTACATTCAATTCAGCATCATGGTAAACAAAATGTTCATAGTTAAGTCTTTCTAATGTCCAGTAACTACCATAGCTTAATTTAGAAGTTGCCATAGAGATGTCCAGGGGGAAAAAAGAACTATCCCTTTAGAAAATGCTTTTGTAGTTTGAAACAGATGGCATTCTCAAATAAACTAGTTAACTCATGTCATATGACTACCAAGAAGCAGGAAATTTTATGTGACCTAAAATTTTGATTGTCTTTTTAGTATTCAACGAATTAATACATGAGAAGTTTTCCAAGGAATTAATATATGAGAACACAAACTAAGGAAGCTTCAACATTGCCATAATTTGCAGAAGTTTTAGATCTGATCCTGCAGTTTTCTGGATTCAATTAATATACTGTCCCTGGTTGCAAAAATAGTAGCTGGCTGCCATGAAGTTACTATAATTTTTAAAATGCAGAACAGAGAGTACGGAGAGAAGTAAACCACTTATCATGTAATAAAACCTGGTACAATATCATCTAGACAGAATATATACTATTTCTTGGACTTCCGGTGGGTTGATCGGCGATGGGGGTAGCTCTCCTCGATGCTCGAGGAGGCAACTAGCACACCTTTGGCTTGGAGGGGTGCCACCTCAAGTGGCACCCCCACGGAGCCCTTGTGAAGGGTTCCAGGCCAGGGGGCTTTTGAGGGTTAGCCTCCTTGACAGCTTGATGCTGGAGAATAGTGGCTTCCTTCCACTCTGATGGTCCAGCCGATGGGTGACCTTAGGGTACAAGCCAATCTAACCGGGACAAGCGCAGGAGATCGAGCGGAATAGCGTATGAAAAGAGCGGGGTCAAGATATGACCAACAAGGAATGTGAGTTCGAAATAAACGGATTATTTTACTAAAACGGAGTACCCCCCCCCCCGTGGGAAAAGCAAACACACACACACACACACACACACACCCCTTCTGCCTCAGTGGTGACAAAATCCATTCGATACCTATGGAACTGTTCAGATTGCTGTAAGGGTACTGCCTGCGCCCAGAGCAGCCTGTTGCGAGAGAGGAACACAAGCAAGCACCTGACTAGGGGTGTGCCAATATATATATATTTTCAGCCCATTCGGATTCAGCCGAATTGGGCAGAATCAATTTCGGCTGGCATAAAGACTCCTGTATGTCAATTTCGGCAGTACATGCGCCAGCCGAATGTCAGTTTCAGCCCCATTATATCCTATGGGCCATTGAAGTCAATGGTGAAAACATAGGGTATATTCTGGGAGCTGGAGGGGAGGGGGTTGGAGGGAGAGGCTCCAAACTCACAGGTTCGCTGCCGGAGCCTCTCCCCAAGATACCAAACAAGTTTGAAGAACATTGGACCAGGGGGTCCAATTCTACAGCCCCCCAAACAGGTTGCCCCTATCCCCTCCATTGTTCTCTATGGTGGGGAAAACGTAACTTTTTCCCACCATAGAGAACAATGGAGGGAATTGAGGCAACCTGTTTGAGGGCCCGTAGAATTGGACCCCCTGGTCCAATGCTCTTGAAACTTGGTGGGTATCTTGGGGAGAGGCTCCAGCAGCTACCCTGCTAGTTTGGAGTCTCTCCCTCAAGCCCCCTTCCCTCCAACCCCCAGAATATACCCTATGTTTTTGCCATTGACTTCAATGGCCCGTAGAATATAATGGGGCTGAAATTGACATTTGGCTGGCCGAAAGACTCCCCAATCAGCTCCTACTGATGAAACTGACATGCAGGAGTCTTACTGCCAGCCTTATTCGGCAGAATCCGAATGGGCCGAATTTATTTATTTATTTTGCACATCCCTATAGGTGA